TCTGCCTCCCAGATTCAAGTGATTCTCCTGCCTCAGCCTCTTGAGTAGCTGGGGTTACAGACGTGGCACCACTGTGCCCTCTATAATTTTTGTATTTTTAGTAGAGACAGGGTTTCGCCATGTTGGCCAGGCTGGTTTTGAACTCCTGACCTCAGGTGATCCACCCGCCTCAGCCTCCCAAAGTGCTGGGATTAGGCATGAGCCACCGCACCCAGCCTTGACAGTTGCTTTTTGTCTTTACCCAAGAGCGACAAGGAGTTGGGCACAGGCTCAATGTGACAGTTCTCCCTTTCTCTTCATGCATTTTCCCTTCATGCCACCAACAGAATCCTTTTCTTAATTGTTTTTTTCACACTCTCCCCCACCTCATATTCAAAGCAAACACATCTCCTTCAGCCTGTTACCAGCAAGGGGAAACACCAAAGAAGTCAAGGGAAGGGTTACATTTCTAAAGTACTTTCCTAAACAGTGATTCTTAGATAGTGATTTTGAAAATTTTCATTTCATTGTATAACCACCCTGTGTGACCGGCATTACTATCACTCTGATATAGATAAAGGACTGAGACCTAGAGGAGTAAAGAGCTTTATTCAACATTCCACTAGTAACCAGCTGGTAAGTGACAGAGCTGGAACTATACCCCAAGCTTCTGAGTCCCCATTTCCAATGTACAAAGCCCTTTTTTTGTTGTTAATTTTCAATTGAGACAGGGTTTTGCTCTGTCACCCACGCTGGAGTCCAGTGACATGATCGTGGCTCACTGCAGCCTCCACCTCCCAGAAGCAATCAAGCAAATCTTCAGTTCACACACAGACCTGTATCTGGGTCCTTAGCCTGGGTTCACCTCCCTTTACCTATCAAAAGCCAGTCCTTCCTTGCACTCCATAGCTCCCATTCCTCTGCTCTTCTTAGAGAAAATGTCTTGAAGGAATTTTCTGCACTCCCTATGTCTATTTACTCACCTCCAGCCCCACTTTAATCCACTCCACTCTGGTTTCCATCTGCACCACTCCATTTGAACTGCTTGTTTCAAGGTCACCAACAGCCAGTAGGAAGCAAAGCCAAATGTGGTTACACTGCGTTCATCCTTCTTGACCTCTCAGCAGGAGCATTTGACACAGTTGACCAAGCCCTTGTTCTTGCAACTATTTTTCCCCATTGACTTTGTTTTGTTTTGTTTTTTTGAGACGGAGTCTTGCTCTGTAGCTGTGGCTACAGTGCAGTGGTGCAATCTTGGCTCACCACTTGCCTTAAGTCCCAGCTATTAGGACGCTGAGATGGGAGGACCGCTTGAGCCTGAAAATCGAGGCTGCAGTGAGCCATGATTGCACCCCTGTACTCCAGCCTGGGCGACAAAGCAAGACCCTGTCACACACACAAACACACACACTAAGAATAATAAATATATATGTATGTGTGTGTGTGTGTATACATATATTTATATATTTATATATATATATATATATATATATGAAATGAACCTGTGGCTCAGCCAAGTGCAGTGACTTTCCTGAGAGCCCACCAGCTCTACCAAGCCCCTCACCCTACATTTTCCATCCACCTTCTCTGGAGGTCACGGATCCCCCATCACCTACATTTAGCCAAAAGGATAAGCTCTGTTCTCCAGAAGACCTGCACCATCTTACCTCCTGTCAGCCTGTGACCTCTGCTTGGCACATTATACACCTCTCTCTCTTCTTACCTCCACCTTTCCAAATCTTTCCCAATCACGTGCTTCTTGTTCACCTTTTTGAGGAAGGTTCTCAAATACCCACAACTTAAACTGCCTCCACCAAGGAGGTTCCAGTTCCTTCCTCATGGCACATGTCTTATCCATAATGGTTTATAATACATAGCAATGGCTTTCAACAAGTGCTTCTTCCTTCCAGCCAACACCTCTATCACAGTTCAAACCTGCACGAGAGGTTCGCATTTCTACCTCAGGCCATGGCTGTGTGCCTTTACTATTACTTTTTTTTCATGCATTATTCTATTGCATACTCTCAAAATACCATTTGATGGCCTTTTTTTTTTTTTTTTTTTAGACAGGGTCTCACTCTGTCACCCAGGCTGGAGTGCAGTGGCATGATCATGGCTCACTCCAGCCTCTGCCTCCTGGGTTCAAATGATTCTCATGCCGTAGCCTCCAAAGTAGCCGCGACTACAGGCATGAGCCACCACACCTGGATAATTTTTGTATTTTTAGTAGAGATGGGGTTTCACCATGTTGGCCAGACTGGTCTCTGACCTCAACTCCTAACCTCAGGTGATCTGCCCACCTTGGCCTCCCAAAGTGCTGGGCTAACAGACGTGAGCCACTGCGCCCGGCCTACAAAATGTTTTTTAAAAAATTAGCCGGGTTGGGTTACAGCTCTTTTAGAATTTGTCTAGCAGGCTTTCCAGTTTTTGCCAGAAAGCCCCATAAAAAAAAAATTAGCCGTGTGTGATGGTGTATTCCTGTTAGTCCCAGCTACTCAGGAGGCTAAAGTGAGAGGACTGTGTGAGTCCAGCAAGTCAAGGCTGCAGTGAGCTGTGATTGCACCACCACACTCAAGCCTAGGCAACAGTGCAAGACCCTGTGTGTGGGGGAAATATATATATTTATATATATTTATATTATATATATATATATATACATATATACACACACAGACACACAACACAGAATTTACCACTTTACCCAGTTTTAAGTGTACAGTTCAGAGGCTTTAAGTACATTCACAGTGTTGTATAACCATCACCACCATCCATATCCAGAACTTTTCATCTTTTCAAACTAAAACTCTGCACCCATTAAATACTAACTCCCCATTCCTCCCCCAAACCCCCATTCACTGTCAACCACCATTTTACTTTCTGTCTCTATGAGTTTGATTATTCCAAATACCTCATGCAGTATTTGTCCTTTTTTTTTTTTTTTTGAGACAGGGTCTCACTCTGTTGCCCAGACTGGAGTGCAGCAGCACAATCATGGCTCAGTTCAGCCTCAACTTCCTGGGCTCAAGCATCCTCCCACCTCAGCCTCCTGAGTAGCTGGGGCAAGAGGTATGCACCCCCAACCCGGGATTTTCTTTTTTTTTTTTTTTTGAGACTGAACCTTGCTCTGTCACCCAGGCTGGAGGGTAATGGCATGATCTCAGCTCACTATAACCTCCCCCTCCTGGGTTCAAGCGATTCTCCTGCCTCAGCCTCCCGAGCAGCTGAGATTACAGACACCTGCCACCAAGCCCGGTTAATTTTTATATATTTTGTAGAGATAGGGTTTCACCATGTTGACCAAGCTGGTCTTGAACTCCTAACCTCAGGTGATCCACCCGCCTTGGCCTCCCAAAGTGTTGGGATTACAGGTGTGAGCCATCGCACCGGGCCCAGCATTTGTCCTTTGGTGACTGCCTTATTTCACTTAGCATAATGTCCTCAAGGTTCATCTATGTTGCAGCACCTGTCGGAATTCCCTTCCTTTTTAAGGCTGTTTCTGCCTTTGGGCTGTTGTGAAGAATGCTGCTATCAACATGGGTGTGGGAATATCTGGTTAAGTCTCTGGCTAAATTTAAATTCTTTTGGATATTTAGCCAGAAGTGGAATTACTGGATCATCTGGTAATTCTATTTTTTGATTTTTTGAGGAACCACTAATACTGTTTTTCACAGCAGCCGCAGCATTTTACACTCATACCAGCAATGCACTAGGGTTCCATGAAATCACTAATTTTATAACTAACGTTTTTCCTGATTACAGACAGTACATGTTCACTGTAGAACATTTAGAAAATTCAAGAAAGAAAAATTTAGAAAATTTAAATTCCCCTTATTCTACATACAGGAACATGACTTGCATTTTTATTATCCCCAACAAAGAGAAGAAAGGGTTTTTCTGGGACGATTGCGTTGCTATAGTGTAGAGGCCTGCCCTGCACGGATCCCATCCTCAAAGCCCCGCCGATCCCGCCGTCCCCGCGACCCCAAGCATCAGCCAAGTTCATGCAGTTGAACTGGCTTCTGAGTATATACGTGGATAATTCCCGGGAGGGCCGCAGACGCGACATGGGGTTGTCACATTCTCTGTGGGTCTGGGCTGCTTGGGCAAAGCATAAAATGTTTGAGGAAAGTGACTTGTCTAGAGAAGCACGTTCTGCAAACGCACCATCCACGTTCCAAACTGAGCATCGGTGTTTGGACCGGAGGGCACCTGAGGACATCAGTACAGTCCCGCAAAGACTAGCACCCAGATCAGCAAGCAGAGGGCAGGAGAATTCCCCGCCCCATCTCACTTCTTTAAGTGCCTATTGGTTGATTTCACCATTAGTCCCCGCTGCCCTCCTATCACCGCCGCCGTTTGTGTCTCGGCCAGTACTCTCATTGGTCCTACTTGCAGTCGCTCTACGTAAGGGGCGTTCCAGAGTCAGCCACTGAGAGTCGCTGGATTCGGGTTTTAAAAAACGCCGGTGGTGAAGTGGGCGGAGCGAGCGATTTGAACGCGAGCGGCGCGGAACGCGGCTAAGCACCGGCTTCTCTGAGGCTCGCGGCCCAGGGCTCTCCGGGCCTACTCAGACGCCAGCCTTTTGCCCCTGGACCCGGCAGCCCAAGCAGGAGCCGTGGAGCTGGGCGCCAGCACTCTCGGCGCGCCATGGGCCCGCGCCGCCGGAGCCGCAAGCCCGAGACCCCGAGGAGGCGCAGAGCGAGCCCGACCCCCAGCCCCACCCGACGGGGCCCCTCCTTAGGTAACCGGCTGCGGCCCTGTCTCGTAGAGGAGAAAACCGAGGCTCGCAGGCGGAGCCCGGATCTCCCAAGTCCCGGTCGCGTGACCTTCCCCCTGATGGGGGACAACACGGTTCCGCTGTCCGGCATCCGCTCCGGGCACGAGCGGTGCCAGCCCTGCGAGGGACTGGAGCAGGTGGTTCCGAAAGCGGGAAGGGACCAGCTCCTAACGCCGCCTTCTTGTTGGGACTAGCCGTTACCCAGCGCCCACCGCCAACCGGGCATTGCGTCCCTACTGTTCGTGCGTTATCTCAGCTTCAGGTCGTACGCGTTTTACAGCCAATGAGAAAGCCGAGGCCCAGACAGGCCAGGGAGCTTGAGCAGAGTCACATAACTTGTTCTGGCGGACACGGGATTTCCAATCCTCTGTGTTTGTGCTTTTTTAAATTGCAAAAGTATTGACTGCTTTCAGTGACGATTTCAAACTGCAGTCCTCTTAGGAGGTGTCTTTCAGGTTTTTTTCCCTTCCGGTAGAGACTGTTTAGACCTTGAACCGAGGCCCGCTGCGCTGCTCACTCTGTTCCCTTCCAGAGCCTGTGTCCGGGAAAGAGGGGCCGAGTCTGTATCTTCCTTGTCTGTATGGTGGGCTGGTGGGGCAGGAGGACGCAGATGCCTGTATGGTACGCGTGGCAATAGCTGCTTTACTTATCTCTTAACTCTTGCTATATAGCTATGAACAAGAAGGGGAAAGTGTATTGTAAATTTGTTTGTTTTTTTTAGAGACTGGGTCTCCCTGTGTTGCCCAGACTGGTGTCAAATAAGTGATCCTCCTGTCTGGGCCTCCCAAAGGGCTGGGATTACAGGCATGAGCCACTGTGCCTATAGGCTTTTGGGGTTTTTGTGTTTTTTTTGAGACCCATCGCCCAGGCTGGAGTGCCGTGATGCCATCAGGGCTCACTACAGCCTTAACTTCCCAGGCTCAGGTGATTCTCCCACCTCAGCCTCCTGAGTAGCTGGGACTACAGGCGTGTACCACCACGCCTGGCTAATTTTTTGTAGTTTTAGTAGAGATGGGGTTTTGTCATGTTGCCTAGGCTAGAGTAGGTTTTTCTAGATGTTGCTGTCGGGAATGGGATTTTTTTTTCTTTCCCAAAACATGAGCATTTAACCTTTGCATCCAGCCAACTTGCCGAATTCTCATTCGTCCTAATAGTCTTTTAGTTGCTTCAGTTGGAATTTTTAAGTCGAACTATATGTCACCTGCAAATAACTTTTGAGTCTTCCATTTTCGTTTCTACACATTTTATTTCTTACTGTATGGTATTAGTAAGGCCCTGAGACTCGCCAAGAGCAGTGTTTTGGCCATCTTTGTCTCATTTGTAATTTTAACACGAATATTAAGTATGATTTTTGCTGTTCCTTTCCAAGATAGAAGCATCTGTCAGCTCCTGGTTAAATGGAAGGTTTCTCTCAAATGGGCACTCAACACTTCTTGGTAGTCCTACCCCCTTTGTCTGGTATTCTTTAATTTTAGAGACAGAGTCTCACTTTGTCATCCAGGCTGGAGTGCAGTGGTGCTATCTTGGCTAATTGCAGCCTTGACCTCCTGGGCTCATGTGATCCTCCTGCTTCAAAATGTTTTGTCTCTACAAAAATATTGCCCAGCATGGTCTTGAACTCCTGGCCTAAAGTGGTTCTCCCGCCTTGGCCTTCCAGAATGATGGGATTACAGGAATGAGCCATCTTGCCTGGCCTTTGTCTGGAATTCTTGCTTTTCCATTCTCCCCATGACTTTTTTTTTTTTTTTTTTTTTTTTTTTTTTTTTTTTTTTTTTTTTTTTTTTTTTTGGATGGTTTTGGGAGAGGGATTTTTTTTTTTTTTTTTTTTTTTTTGGTAATGGAGTCTTGCTGTATCACCAGGCTGGAGTGCAGTGGTGTGATCTCGGCTCACTACAACCTCCGCCTCCCGGGTTCAAGTGATTCTCCTGCCTTAGCCTCCCAAGTAGCTGGGACTACAGGTGTGTGCCACCATGCCCAGCTAATATTTGTATTTTTAGTAGAGGCAGGGTTTCACCATATTGACTAGGATGGTCTTGATCTCTTGACCTCATGATCCACCTGCCTCGGCCTCCCAAAGTGCTGGGATTACAGGTGTGAGCCACCGCGCCCAGCCCTCATGACTGTTTCATAACTTTTTCTCCCTCCATGACTTCCTACAGCTCCATTCCCCCCACTCACTCTTAGCTAATGATGGCCTTGACTAAGTGTCCCCCTTCCTATCAAAGCCACCCCTCCTTCTACATGGGTTCTTGGTCATATCCTTCTTTCACCTACAAGGAGCTTTCTGTTGTCCTTTCTACCTGTGCTTAGATAAATCCAGACACTTCACATTAGCATTGGCAAATGTGCTCTAGTATTTATGATCTTAAGAGAAAGTGCAGGGGTGTTTCCTTGACCCCACATTCTCACCTCCCTATACCTCCCATTTCTCTCTACTCCCCCTTCATAGCCATCCTTTTAAAATAGCCAGACTTAGTTAGGTCTACATACATTGTGTCTGATTCCTTCCGTCCTAGTGACCCTGCAACCTACTCCAATCTGACTCCCCACAACCACTACCCCTTGAACTGCACCTGTCAGGGTCACCAGCACCTTTTGTATTGCCAAATCCAGTAAGCAGGTCTGTGTTCTTACTGTGTCCCAGAAGCATTTGACACAGTGGGCCTCTTTCTCCTTGAAGCGTGCTGTTCCCTAAGCTTCCATGCCACTGTGGACTCTGGCAGTTCTGCTTATCATTCTTCACTGCCTATGCTGCCTCCCTCCAGCTCCTTGACATTGGACTTCCTTGACATCCTTTTCCTTTCTACCCCCTCTCTAGATGATCTCATCTTCTTCGTGGCTCTAAATGCCACTCCTACTTGACAGCTCTCAAGTTTACAAATACCTGGATCTCTCCTCTGACCCCAGATACCTATATCTAATTGCCTTTCTACCTGAATGCTCTTGGTTATGTTAAACTTAACACACCCCAAACTGAACTTCTGGTTACTCCCCTCCAGCCCCTTCATCCTCAGTTTCCCCATTTCAATAAATGGCACAATCACCCACCCAGTTGTTCAAACCATGAGCCTGGGAGACCCCCATCTCCAATACAGATGCAGGTTCAGATAATTCTGCTTCCAAACTGCATCCTTAATCACTCCATTTTCACCATCTCTACTCCCACCAGCCTAGTCCAAGCCACCAGCATCTCCCAAGAGCAACTGTGAGAGCCTCCTAATCAGCCACTACTCCACTTCCTCTTGTCTCTTTCCAGTTCTTTCCTTACACAATAGCTGGAATGACCTTTGACATCTCTATCCTGCAAAAAACCTCTTCCCTGGCTTCTCATTACGTTAGGATTAAATTCCATCTCCTTGTGTTGGCATTTCAAGACCCAACTACTACATTTTGATCCCAGTTCTTTTCCATGATCTCTCTAATTGGTTACTTTTCATAACCACTTGTTCTTGAGTCATGAATTTCATATCTCTGTTAACTCTCTGAGGTTATTATCCATTTTTCTCTCAAAGTTTCTATCTCTTTTCTCTAGTAACTCAATTTCCTCTGGTATTGGTTATTTGTTGAGTTTGGTTCTTCTCTTTCATGGTATTCTCTTTCATGGGCACTCAACACTTCTTGGCAGTCCTACCCCCCTTATCTGGTACTCTTTATTTAATTTTAGAGACAGTCTCTCTTCCTCTTGTCCCTTTCCAGTTCTTTCCTTACACAATAGCTGGAATGACCTTAAATTTCTGGAAGATCTTTAGTTGTGTTCATGCTCACATTTTCTGTGAAGATTCTGCTATGTCTGTTTAATTTAATTTTATTTATTTATTTTCAGACATAGTCTCACTCTTGTCACCCAGGATGGAGTGCAATGGTGTGATCTTGGCTCACTGCAACCTCTACCTCCCAAGTTCAAGCGATTGTCCTGTCTCAGCCTCCCGAGTAGCTGGGATTATAGGTGCCCACCACCATGCCCAGCTAATTTTTGTATTTTTAGTAGACACGGGGTTTTGCCCTGGTCGCCAGGCTGGTCTCGAACTCCTGACCTCAGGTGATCTCACCTCAGTCTCCCAAAGTGCTGAGATTACAGGCGTGAGCCACTGCACCAAGTCCTACGTCTGTTTATGAAAGACTGCCTCCAGTGACTGTGGGTTGCTAACTGGTGGTGGGGAGGGAGGGAGGTGTGAGTAGCTTGTCTCCAGGGTATGGATTCTCCCTCTTTGAAATGTCACCAGTCTCCTGGACACTGCTGTGTTTCATTGACCTTTGTTCTCTAACCTCACCAAGGGATGATCTCCTCTGCTGGCTGCCTGGCACAGGCCATGTCTGGATTGTCTTACCTTCCCCACTTGCCCTTGCAGCTCTTCTGACATTTTGTGATTAGTTCACTGTATTAAACGCCTTCTATTTGACTTGGTATGGAGTCTTTTTTCTTGACTGGATCTTGAATAACATTTCTGAAACTAATTTTATCCTTCAAAATGTAATTTTTGTTTGTTTAATCAACTTTTCAGAAGTTCACTCATCTTGGTCCTTCATTGTAATTATGGGGCAACTGTACCATTTTTTCTTTAACTTTCATTTTCACTAATTTATTATCTAATATTTCTTTTGTTCTATCTTGTTTTGGTTTACTTTAATAACTCTCTAATACTTAAGCTGAATGTTTAACTCAGATATCTTTTAGTGTTAAGGCTATGCGTTTTCCTCTAGTACCATTTTGGCTGTATCTCATAAGTTTTGGGATATGGGCTTTTTTTTGTTGTTGTTATTCATTTCTAATTAGTCTGACTTAATTAAGTTTCCTCTTCAACAGAGGGTTAGTTAGAAGAAACTGGTTTTTTTATTCATGGGTTTTTAATTTCTGATTAGAGAATTTGGCTTTTATTGATTTCTACTTTTGAGAATGTTTTAAGATTCTTTTATTTTTTTGTGGTTGTTGTTGGAACCAAGGTTTGAACCAATGGCTCTGACTCCACAGCCCAGGTGCCTAACACTGGCACTGAGTTAGGCCACTCCTTACACAGGTCTCACTTGGCCACTAATAAGGGCTGGCCAACTGTCTTCACCTCACTGGGCCTCAGGATAATCAAGACAAGGGAATTGTACGAGATAGTCTCTCAGATTCTTTTCAACTGTAAAAAACCAAAATCTAAAAACAAAATAACTGAGCTTCCAATCTAGGTGGGTAGGATCTAAGAATTGTACAAAGTCCTGCAAAGCCCAGAGGAGGGCAGTCACCCATCTGTTTGGAAGGGATCAGCATTTGGGAAAGGCTTCATGGAAGAGTTAGCATTTAAAAGCAACTGCAAGGCCAGGTGTGGTGGCTCACACCTGTAATCCCAGCACTTTGGGAGGCCAAGGCGGGAGGATCACCTGAGGTTGGAAGTTCGAGACCAGCCTAACCAACATGGAGAAGCCTCGTCTCTACTAAAAATACAAAAAATTAGCCAGGCTTGGTGGTGCATGCCTGTTATCCCAGCTATCTGGGAGGCTGAGGCAGTAGAATCACTTGAACCTAGGAGGCGGAGGTAGGTCATGCCGTTGCACTCCAGCCTGGGCAACAAGAAAAAAACTCTGTCTCAAAAAAATAAATTAATTAATTAAATAAAATCAACTGCAAAGGATCATTCACTCATTTATTTAACAAACATTTAGCACCTATCTGCTGTTTTCTAGTTGCTGAAGATAGCAAAATAACTGAATATCAGGTTAGTACAAAAGTAATTGTGCGTTTTGCATAACTGCAATTACTTTTGCACCAACCTAATAAAATAGACAAAAATCCCTGCTCTGCGGAGTGGAGGCACATAGATATAGTCTAGCAATTTGACAGCTTACCTGACTCAGCCAAGCTGAGAGGCACTACCTACTGTCCACTGAACTTACCCTTTTCTTGCTCAGGCGCTTCCTCACGTCCACGTGGTTATCGAAGGCAAGGTTGGCTAAAGGAGATCCGAAAGCTTCAGAAGAGCACACACCTCTTGTTAAGGAAGTACCCCTTCAGCCGCCTGGTGAGCTCTGGGAGCTTCCCGCCAACCCCCATGCCACCCTCCTTTTTCAGATTTTCCCAGGTAGTAGGGACCCTACTGTCTCTTACCTAAATGGCCAGGGGACCTCTTCTCTAATCTAGTAGGGGAATCTTCATTTCTGAAAACATGAGCCCTCCAAGAGCACCTTGTAATTCTTTATGGAATTGATTTCTAACCCCCTCTGCCTGTAGTTTTTGACTGTATCAATAGGAACTCTCTCGTTTGTCCACCCTTGGAGCCCTTTTCCTACCCTGGAGATTTCCTCCCATCACCCAATTACTAGTGCTTTCTCCATCACCACTAAGAGATCTGCCGATTCCTAAGCTCCCAGGAGTTAACACCTGCTCCTAATTAGGTCCAAGATAAGGACCAGGGAAAAGTCATGGGAAGGAGGATTCCCTGGAACTCATAGAGAGCAGCATTGTCCCTTGAATTTCTCTGTTACTCCCAACCCTCTCCATCCCCACTCCTTCATAGGCAAGAGAAATATGTGTTAAATTCACTCGTGGTGTGGACTTCAATTGGCAAGCCCAGGCCCTATTGGCCCTACAAGAGGTAAGAAGGTGCCAATGCACGATTGGGTGAGGGCTGAGTGGGAGAAAGAGGCAGCCTAAATTCTCCAAGGCTGACTGGAGTGTCACATGCTGAATCTGACCTCCTGGAAAAGAACAACAAGGTAACCCCTGAGGGTTTGGAGGCTGGATTCTGTGTGATGATAGCAGAATTTCCTGGCAAAATTCAGTCTCATTCTGTGAACAGTTTCCTACAGTCCTCTGAGCCCTCAGAGATTAAGGTTAGCGGGTCTCCAGGAAAAAGCAGCTCATGCGCCTTCATCTGTGTCCGTCGTTCTTTTTCTCTTTCTGTCTCCAGGCGGCAGAAGCATTTCTAGTTCATCTCTTTGAGGATGCCTATCTCCTTACCTTACATGCTGGCCGAGTTACTCTCTTCCCAAAGGATGTGCAACTGGCCCGGAGGATCCGGGGCATTGAGGAGGGACTCGGCTGAGCTCCTGTGCCCAGTGTTTCTGTCAGTCTTTCCTGTTCAGCCAGGGGGTAAGTGCAGCGGCTTTCTCATGACTGGGGCTGGAATTTCTCAAGGAATTTCCTTTCTCCATCCCTAGTTCCTCACCACTTTACCTTCCCTTGTTCTCAAGTATAAAGGTTTGATCTAGTTTTGACTGCCTGGGACTATGTGGCTTGTGCCCTTTTGTACAATGTTAGATAAAGCAATCTTTCTATTAAATAATGGACAGACGACCCTAATTTCTTTTTGTTGTTGTTGTTATTTATTTTATGAGACAGGGGTCTCACTCTGTCACCCAGGCTGGAGTGCCATGGTGCCATCATGGCTCACTGCAACTCCTCCTGCCTTGACCTCCCAAAGTGTTGAGATTATAAGAATCAGATGACCTCATTTTGATTAAGAGGAAGTTTTCTTACTTTTGAAAATGGCTTGTTAATAAGTGTGCTTCCTTAATTTCAGGGATGATGCCAGGGACTCTCTGGAGCCATGACTAGACCCAGTGGAGTCTCTGATGCTGTCTGGACTTTGCTGTCTCTGAACAGTGTGTGCATGTTGCTTTAAACTTATTTTTTTGGAGAAGGAGAAGACTGCATGACTTTCCTCTGTAACACAGGTAATATATGAGACAATCGACATCGTTCCTAAGGCCTGAAAATAATTTTCAGATAAAGAGACTCCAAGGTTGACTTTAGTTTGTGAGTTACTCATGTTTTGAGAATTCTGAAACCATCATATTTGTTGTGGTATGGGAGAAAAGGATATGTACTTATTATTTTACATCTGTCTGTACTATTTGCATTTTTTACCATATGTACATTTGTACTTTTATTTTATACATAAGAGAAAAAATAAGAGAAGACCACTTTGATCAGTTGCATGGAAGGCTGGGCATATCCAGCATAGACATCTGCCCTTCAGAGTAGCCTCACCATTAGTGGCAGCATCAAGTGACTCAGTGGCCTGTGCTTGTCAACAGACGTGGAGCTTTTCAGAAGCTTAACTGGGGATGAATAGAAGATCTGTAAGCTTTGATGTTCTGGTTCCTTCTAGTCAATTCCTGTCAAAATCAATTCAGAAATTCTAACTTGTAGAATTTAACATTTTACCTTGTAAATCATAGAAGATGTATCATATCAGTTCAGGATTTTAAAGTACTTTTTTGATGCTTTTACATGTATTTTTGTAGTTTCTTTGTAGAGAGATAATAAAAATCAAAATAATTATTTAATGAAAATGGAGTTACTCCTATAGCATAGAGATTATACTGTACTTTTTATGTGTTAATAATAAGTTCTTTGTTTGTATACTGTTTGCAGACAGGCACAATTTAAGCAAGATAAGTGAGGGATGTGGTTTTGCCTCTGATGGAATAGAACATGACCAGATGAAAACCTTGCCCTTCTGTTGTAACTGAGAGCAATTTAAAAGATTTCCAGAGACATGGGAAGTGTCACCCAAAGATATGAGATCTGTATGTGGTGAAAATGATTAGTGAGGGGAGACTACTAATAATGATGTGTCAGTCA